GCCCAGTCTTATACCATCCCCCTGACTGGCAGTGGATTTCACTGTTGTGCTCTATAGGGTGTTTGTTGGCTGATTTTCGGAAGTCAATCACCAGGCTTTTCTTCCCAGTCCATCTTAGTCAGGAAGCTCTGCTAAGATCTGCTCAGCATTATAACACACAGCCTCCACTGACAAGCAAGTTGTGTCTGCACATTAGGTGCACTGGCCAGTGGTGAGCCTGAGTCTCCCACGTGAAATGTGAGAATTCTACCACAGAACCCACCAATGCCCCCAGAGAAAAGCTTCTGTGTTATTTAATCCAGAAGTGATCACTATGTTACATAGGTACTACCACTCTTTATTGCCATATTCATGAAAAATATCACTAATCCATCAGGTCATCATCTTCAATAACCCAAGGTAAGTCCTCACTGGTGTTTTTTCAACTAATCTTTTTGCTCATCCACCACCAATCCATAATTTTGATATGTGAATGAAAACATCTTTGAACTTGTCAAACCCCATATTTTAGACATGAGGAGAATGAATGTTAGAGTCTAAAAGACTTGCCTATGGCCACATAGTTAATTATTGGCTAAATCTGGACTAGATCCAGCTCGACCTCGGTGACTTGACACATTTTTACTAACTCTTATTGCTTCCTAATGACTATGATTTTTACTGCTATTTCTGCTATCTGGTTATGGGGGCATTTTCCGTATAAAGCCAGCTCAGATGGGAAATTAACCAAGTCAGGAGAGCATACTTTTGAGACAATTATTTTATTGTTCAATGGAAAACGTACATGCACTTGATCTCTAACCCAACACAAAGATCAGTGCCATATGAGGCAACTAGACGGGACTGTCCTACAATAAGTCTAAAGTGCTGTCTGTTCTGCAAGAGCTCAAGTTCCTCTGGTCAGAGGAAAGCCTGCTGACATTGACAGGTTTCAAGTTCTGCAAATTCTTTATTGTTAGAAGTGTGCACAGTTTTATCAATAAACAGAAAAATGAATGAGGTAAATGACTAAAAGTCTCTCATAAGACAATAAGAAAAAAAAGAACACATGGTTTAAAAATATGAACATGCTAATCACAAGAAAAAAAATAAAGCATATACATTTGAGGAGCAATTTAAAATGAAAGCAAAACAATATTATGCTTTTTTCTTTTTATTTACTTTACGTTGAGGTGTGATATATATAAAGTAAAGTGTTACAGGTCTATGAATTTTACATATGTGGACAACCATTTAACCAACACTGTGATCAAGATACAGAACAGTCCTAGCTCCCAAAAGTCTCCTCATGACATCAACACCCATGAAAGAAACAGGAAACCATTATCTTGAGCCCTATCACCATAGGTTATTTGTCCCTTTTAACAAGAGAAATGTCTTCTTTTTAGAAAATTGTCAAATATTTTTAAGAGTAATAGGTCCAATTTTTTGTAAAAGTGCAAATTTTCTGGCCATATGATGGTTTCTTATTGGATTAACAGTCTTATTGATTTACACACATTTTAATTTATTAAACCCATAACTATAGAATTAAATGGAGATAATGAAAATGTCAAGTCCCTTTGTTCATAAGAATTGTTGGTGATTGTGAAAATATATAACTGTGTAATTCCCAGCTATAGAAAAATGCCTAAGTTAATTACAGTGCATTTATATATGAATTCCTATGGTGTCTTTAGATTTCAAGATTATTGGAGAATTTTAATGACTTGGAAAAGTCTAGACAGAATGACAGTTGAAAAGGTGGTATGTTATCTCAGGTATGGTGATGAGATTTTTGGTACAATACCAAAGACAAGATTCATGAAAGAAAAAATGTGTAAGTTGGACTTTATTAAAATTAAAACTTCTGTTCTGTGAAATATACAGTTAAGAGAATGAAGAAACAAGCCACATATGAGCAGGAAATGTTAGCAAAACACACATTTGATAAAGGTCTTGTATCCAGAATACACAAAGAACTCAAACTCAGCAATAAGAAAACAAACAACCCAATTTAAAATGGACAAAAAAATAAGGCAACCACACCAAAGAATATACAAAAGTAAGGAATAAGCACATGAAAAGATGCTAAGCATCTTTTGTAATTAGGGAGCTTCACATTAAAACAACAATGAAATACTACTATCTATTTGTACTTACTAGGTGCCAGTGAGTCTATTCCAGCTCATAGTGACTCTATAGGACAGAGCAGAACTGCTCTGAGAGTTTTCTAGGTTGTAATCCTTACCAGGGGCGCTCTGGTGGCACAATGCCTAAGACATTTGACTGCTAACCAGAAGGCTGGTGGTTCAAACCCACCAACCACACCTTGGAAGGAAGGTTGGGCAATCTACTTTCGTAGTGATACTGCCTCAGAAACCCAAGGAGGGGTCGCTATGAGTTGGAGTTGACTCAATGGCAGTGAGTTTGGTTTTGGTTTGGAATCTACCAGAGAAGCTCTCGTGGTGTAGTGCCTAAGGCATTTGACTGCTAACCAGAAAGCTGGTGGTTCAAACCCACCAAGCACTCCTCAGAAAGAAGATTGGACAATCTACTTCCTGCTATGAGTCAGAACCCACTTGACAGCGGTGAGGTTTTTTTTTTTTTTTTTCTTTTTTTTTAAAATCTTTACCCGAGCCGATTGCCAAGTCTTTTCTCTTGCAGAGCCACTGGGTGGTTCAAACCATCAACTTTTCAATTAGAAGCTGAGCACTTAACTGTCATGCCACCATGAATCCTTACATGCCGAATAGCTAAAATTAAAAAAAAAAAAAAATATGTATCTGGCAATCTCAATTGCTGGTGAGGATGCAGAGTAGCAGGGATTTTCATTCATTGTTGATGGGAATGTAAAATGGTACAGCCACTTTGGAAGACAGTTTGGCAATTTCTTACAATGCTAAATGTACTCTTACCGTGTGATCCAGCAATCATTCTCCTAGGTATTTATTCACCTGATTTGAAAACTTTTGTTGACACAAAAGCCAGCACACAAGAGTTTATAGCAGCTTTAGTCCTAACTGCCCCCAACTGGAAACTATCAAAGTATCTTTCAGCAAACCAGAGCTTAACCAAACTGTGATACATAGATACAATAGAATATTACCGAGTGATAAAAAAAAAATGAGCCATTAAACCACAAAAAGACACTGATGAATCTTAAATGCATATTGCTAAAGAAAGAAGTCTATGTGAAAAAGTTATATACTATATGAATCCAATTAATAACATTCTAATAAGCAACATCAAGTTAAACAGAAAAAGATTGAAGTGTCAAAGATTTAATTTTACTTGGATCCACAATCAACACCATAGAGGCATTGGACAAAGCTGCTGCAAAAAAGCTCTTTAAAGTGTGAAAAGCAAAGATGTGACTTTAAAGACTAAAGTGTGCCTGACTGAAGCTGTCTTGGATGAATTACACCCAGAATACTCCTTAGAAGCGAGGATGGTGAGACTTCGTCTCTCATACTTTGGTCATGTTATCAGGAGGGACCAGTCCCTGAAGAAGGACACCATGCTTGGTAAAGTACAGGGTCAGAGAAAAGAGTGGAAGACCTTCAACAAGATGGAGTGACACAGTGGCTGTGACAACGGGCTCAAACATAGCAATGATTGTGAGGATGACGTGGGACTGGGCAGTGTTTCATTGTGTTGTACACAGGGTTACTGTAAGTCAGAGCCAACTGGATTGCAGCTAACAACAAAAAGGACATTCTGGAAAAGACGAAACTCCTCATCAACTTCAAGTCGACTCATAGTGACCCTATCTACAGGACAGTGTAGAGCTGCCTTGGAGGACTTCCAAGGCTTTAGGTCTTTATGGAAGCAGACTGCCACATCTTTTTTCCTGCTGGTGGGTTCAAACCAACAAACTTCTGATTAGCAGCCAGGTACTTTAACCAGTGCCCTACAAGAGCTTTGTGACAAAACTAGAGACAGTAAAAAGTGATCAGTGGTTGCCAGGGATTCAGGGTGGGGAGAAGGTTGAATAGTTGAACCACAGGGGATTTTTTTTTTTTTTTTTTTAGGATGATGAAATTAGTCTGTATAATATTGTGAAAAAAAGAAAAAAAAAGTATTAAAAACTATGAGTCCATAGTGATCAAAATAAATAATCTAATAAATAAATGGGGGAAAATAAACAAATCTTCTACACACAAGAATTCCAAATAACATGTAGACTTTCTGCTCTGAAGGCGGGGAGTATGGCTCCCTGCACCATAAGTTTGCCTGTGCAGACTGACTCCCTTCCAAAAAGAGCAATATGAAAAAAAAAAAAAAGGGGGGGGGGGCAAAAAGAGTACATTTACAGTGGAGAAATCTGGCAAACTCTTTCTCAGCCAGGCGACCAAGGTTAGCATCAGCAGTGATGAGTCCTGTTGATGGTATATCAGGAAAAGTAAAATAATTAGTCATAATGGGGGTCAGGTAGATGAAGTCAATTCTTTGAAAACCTATTCCCCTCCACAGTGTAAAAGGAAAGGTTAGGAAGTCCTTTTTTCAGACAGACCCATTCCACCTTGATTTGCTACCTGTCCTAAAAGAACACCGCTGGTTTAGGACTACAGTGATCTGGGTGAGACCCAGCAAAGCCTTAGGGCCCCATCCGTGGCCTCCTGGTCCCTGGGGATGGACAGACCCTTGGATCTATTAATTCCACTATGACCTTAGCTTTTACTCTTCCTTTCCTACAGATAATTTTCCATTTCTAATAAATCAGAGTCCTAAATAATCCAAGTTCAATGAAGTCACTTCCCATACTTTGCTTGGCACAGCTGCATTTTCTTCTGCCCCTGCGCTACACACAGCTTCCCTCTCTCAATGTCTGGAAACCACCCCCGGGCCTGGTGCCTACTCAACATATTCAGGGGCTTACTTCATCCTTTCTTGATCATGACCCTGCCTGGGTTCTCTGCTTTCTATAAAAGGCAGCCAGAAACACACAGGAGTGATGAGACTGAGACCAATCCAGGAGCTGCCAAGTCTGACTGAAACTCGCCTCTTCACCATCCGATATGAAGGCCTCTGCATCACTTCTGTCCCTGCTGCTCACAGCGGCCACCTTCAGCACCCACGTGCTTGCTCAGCCAGGTAAACCCTTTGCCTCCCTGAGGCTTAACATTTTAGCTCTTCACATCTAGATGCTTAACACACATGCTAGATGCTTAACATCTCAGCATGAATCATCCAAAACTGGCTGCAGAGTCTGCATTTTAAAAGCAGAGAAAATGAGACTCAGATAGGAATTAAGATGAGCGGAAATGCCACACCTAGTCAGAGGCAGTTAGATGCCCAGGTTACTGAGCCCAGCGCCCAAGATCCTTCCTGACACTTGCTTTGTGAAGAGACACTAGATGCAGCCACTGCTTCACCTACCCACTCATTCTGGGAATGTTGCAAAGAAGGAAGAATACTCTTGCATTGTGGACATGAACGACACACTTCAGGCAGTAGCAGAGAGGAAAACTATTGCTTGGGGTTCAAATTTTGGGTTATGTCCAATGGAGTTTCTAGAAACAGTGATTGTGTAAAGAGAATAAAGACCCAGAGGGATCTCAGCATGTGACATAGTTTGGCTTTAAAGCTCATGGGCAAAAATCACAGTGAAGGAAGTTTCTAGAACCTATTTCCCCAGTGTCAGAAATTTTGGTTTAGTTGTTGTCTTTGTTAGGTTAGTTGTTGGCAAGTTGGTTCTGACTCATGGGGACCCTATTCCTGCAGAGCAGACTGCTCCATATGGTTTGCAAGGCTATGATCTTTTCAGTAGGCCCTCCTAATGACACTACAAGGTCTGGGCTTGCTGATCGGGATTTTTCCATACTCAGTCAGCAATGATGGGTCCTCCTAGTTTCATAGAGGAAACTGATTCATAGGTAAAATTTCATTTCTGGGTACTGAACTTAGGAATGGGTGGGTTCTAGGTCTAATCCTCATATTTACTTTGTCTTCTAGTCCTTTCCTTACAAAGCCCTATTTCTAACACCTAATAACCATCTCGTTCTTTGTGTTTTACAGATTCAGTTTCCATCCCAATCACCTGCTGTTTTAATGTGGTCAGTGGGAAGATTCCCATGCAGAAGCTGGTGAGATACACAAGAATTACTAACAGCCAGTGTCTCCGAGAAGCCGTGGTGTAAGTGGACCCATGTCCTATCTCCTCAGCCAAAAGTTCTATCTTTTGGATAGGGGCAGGGAGAAAGTGAGGGAAGAGGTCAGGGTTCACATCCAAAGGAGTCAGATAAATAAACAATTTGATTTAAAGGACCCCTTTATCCCATGGAGAAACTGAACTCATGAGGAAAAAATTCATACTTACTCCAGGCAACTCCTTAGGGAGCCTGATGGTTTGACATCCTGTAGCCAAGAGCAGGGAGGCCTTTAACTGGGGTAGCAAGAGCAGAGCTCCCTCCTGAGGCTCATTCCTTTGATTCTCTTCTTTTTTCTTGTGTCCTCATTCAGGGAAAAAGGAGTGAGTAGGTTTAGGGTTCAAATGGTCACAGTCCTGGATAGAATTCTCAAGGCACCCTGTCTAACTGTGTGCACTCTGTCCTCTACAGCTTCAAGACTATACAGGCCAAAGAGGTCTGTGCTGACCCCAAGGAGAAATGGGTCCAGGATTCCATGAAGCGCCTGGATCAAAGATCCAAAATCCCAAAGCCTTCAATCATCACACCTGGGCAAAGGGACAGAGCCTGAGCAAAATGCTATTTATATTTTCCCCAGATTTCCCAGGTGCAGCACGATATTAATTTATTATAATGTCCAGAAGGACATGTTTTGCTCAATAATTCAAAGCACAGTATTTCTTAATTAATATTTAATTATATTTAAGTTATTGACTTTTTACTTTATTTTCCATGAATCTTGGTATGTTATTAAATATAAAACTCTGGGTTTTCCTTTCTGAGCTCAATTATGTACATGGCAGCATGTCATTGTTTTGCCTCCTACCTACCTGTAACATTATAGGGGTCCTTCCATGGACCATCAGTGTGACATACTTATGTATTTTTAGGAAATCAGTGCACCTGTGAGTCAAATGTGCAATTTGCTGTGTTATTGTTAAAATCAATGTTATTATATGACAATGGAATTTCCAAAGAAAAAAAAAAAAATATATATATATATATAATTTTAAACTACTCAGTCTTATTTTTTTGTGGAGTAATATTTAGCTAGGAGGAAGAAAAAGGCAGAAGTGGGTAAACCGTCACATAACTAGCAGAATAGTTACATAGAGGCAGATTACATAAATAAGTAAATGTATTAAAGGTAATAGAAATGAAGACTCTCAATGTTGGACAAGATTCCATATAAAAATATAAAAGTTGGAAAGCTAGGAAGAAGTCTGTGGTGTTGGAAAGGAACAGGAGGTATTTGTGGAAACTCCTGTTTTAAAGATAGCTAGCTAGATAAATAGATAGAAACACATACATGCATAATTATGGCCACTGAAAGCCTAGTAACTATAACACACCAGTAGTAATGTGTAGCAAGTGCCCCTTCAGTTTCTAAATACTGACCTCCACCAAAGAAACAAGGGCTCCTTAGACAAATGACTCCTTGGATAAATAGATCAAATGCTGGAATATTGTGTTGTGCCAGAGAGTACCCAAACCAAATGAAACTTACTACCATCAAGTTGATTCTGACTTACAGCAACCCCCATTGGGTATCCAAGGTAGTAAATCTTTACGAAAGTAGATTGGCCCTATCTTCCTTCCACAGAGCACCTGTTGTTGTTGTTGTTGTTGTTATGTGCCATCGAGTTGGCCCCTACTCATAACGACCCCTCCTTGGGTTTCCGAGGCAGTATCACTACGGAAGTAGGATTGCCCAACCTGGGTTTGAACTGCCACAGAGTAAAGAGAGGTCAAAATATCATGGGAATATGTCAAAAGGACTCAGGAGTCCATTTGGAGGGGGTTACACTGGCCAAATCTGGGATAGTTTGATCATTAAATCTGCTACAAAAGACCCCTTCAAAGTGTTAAAAAGCAAAGATGTCACATTGAGGACTAAGGTGCACCTGACCCAAGCCAGGGTATTTTCAACGGCCTCATATGCATGCAGCTCTGGTAGCTCTGGTAGCATAGTGCCTAAGGCACTTGACTGTTAACCAGAAGGCTGGCTGGCGGTTCAAACCCATCAGCCACTCCTCAGAAGGAAGATGGGGCAATCTACTTCCATAGTGATACTGCCTCGGAAACCCAAGGAGGGGTCACTATGA